CCAGGCTCTCCTCTTTCTACCTCACCGCCCCAAACACCCACCTGAACCTGCTTGAGAATGTACCTGTGGTGAACGAGCACCTTTCCGGAGCGCAGGCCCCTTCACGTCGTGTTATCCATCTTCTTCCTCTCCCACGTTCACGAAGACAAACCTCAGCATCACACTAGGTAAAAACCTCGAGTATGGCCAGGAAGCGTCCCTTGAAGGGGGAGCTGTAGACATGGGGCACTTTGGTCCTCCAGTTCCTGGCTGCCTAGAAGGAAAAAGAATTCTGTGGGTGTCCGTTGCCAGACCCCCCTCTCCCCTGTTCTGGGTAATGGCTCTCTCCACTCCTTCACCTGCTCACGGCCAGTCCCCTGAGCTTGGCTCCTCCCCACCCGCTCCGTGGTGGCATTGGTGGTGACTCCAGGTCATGGCCAGCCCGTCAGCCCATGGTGGTCTGCCCCGGGGCACCGTCAGGGCTGAGCCCCTTGGAAACGGCGTCAGTTTGACACCGTAGATCTCATCTGGCATCATCAGGAGGACAAGCCTCTGAACAGCTTCTTCAGGAAAAGTTCTTGTCCCCAGGGCTTTAGGTAGCCAAGTGGCACATGGCCAACACCAAGCCAGGAACAGGTACCCACCAGGGCAGCTTTCAGGGCAACAGTGTTGGACTAAAGGAGATCGAAGAAACACGACGGATTGCTACTACGAAGAGAATATTTTATTACTTATAACACTTCATTCAGCTAAATCCACATAGCAATACACGGAAATACTTCAGAAAAGTGCAAATTCTCACTCTGTATTTGTAATATGCCCTAGTTTTACAGAAGAACAGACACTGGGCAAACAAGAGCACAGATCCAGAACTCCCCAGGATTCGAGACAAGGAGAACGATGCAACTTCGGATATCCCCATCACCTCGTACAGAGCTACTCGTGGGCACACAAAGGGCAGGGGAGGATGGAAAATGTGCTGTGCACCAGGAATCTCGTATCAGGATGGGCTCTGATCAACCAGGTGTCACCATGCGAAGAGCCCCTCTCTCTTACTTGGGGAGAGAAGAGGGCAAAAAAGGGGGGGAAGACAAAATGAGGTGACGGCAGTAATATAAATTATAAGTTTAAAATTAAAGAGAACATCCAAGTGCTTTCTGAAGCAGATCACAAGTTCTACCCTGCTCCCAATGACAGAAACCATCATCCCACCGGGCGGTTTCTCCCTCAGCACCCTGACCATTTCACAGCAACACGGTCCCTTTAATGAAAGGGAACCCAAAATCCCTGATGCTTCAGGAGCCAAAGAGCGGACACGAAGCGCTACCCGAGTATCACTAAATCAGAGATCTCGACACACAGTTGGTACCCTCCCAACCAGAGAGACAGCGACAGCTTGAGATGAGTCCAGAACTGTCCGAGGCGGGTAAAGCAGCCCCGGGCTGCACGTTGTAACTCACCTCGACATCTGAAACCCAAATGCATAGGATTTTAATTCTGCCTTTAGTCTGTCGATGACACAAATAAGCAGTTCCCCTCCTTAAAAGGAAGGGCTGGGTGCGTAAAATTCAGGAAATCAGGAGACCTGCTCAGGCAAGGTCCCAGTTCTCCTGCAGCCCAAGGGAAACTCTGCTCCTTCGAGCCGCATCCTGCTCTTCCACGCAAGAGTTTGGGATTCACTCATGCCATGGCAGGGAGCATCCTTCACAGGTGCAGGAGGAGAGACACAAACAGCACCTGCAGGTATTCAAACCACAGACTGGACACCATATCACAACCAGAATAAAAAAAATTCAGCTACCGGCTCTGTACTGTAGATGTTATTCAACCTTGCCTGGCAAGTCTCCTGTACTTACAAAGGTCCTATCCCCGGCCCACGGAAACACAACTTCACCACATCGCTGAGCGAGACGGAGATTAAGCCTGTCACATCAAAAAGGGAAAGGGTAAAACCAAGCCCTCCTAAATTTATCAACTACTAAAACCAAATCGTTGGCTGTAGGATTACAGTTTCAGCCAACCTGCTGCAGAGCGACCTCCGAGAAGGCGTATTTCAACTGGAAGCGCCCAGTAAACAACACCCACAGTGTACTTTGATCTATTACCTGCTCCCTGCTCAAGTCTGAAAAGCCTTTGTTCTTACCTGAAAAGTAGTACAGAACAGCTGACAACTAAGAGAAGGTTGTGCACAAGCCCAACAAACTCTAACACAAAGTACAACAAAGTCACGGGGCAATGAAGTAAGAGAATTACAGTCCTTCACAGTAACAGAAGTAAGGGAGGCAAGATCAGAGGGAGCAGATAAAGGAGGAGTTCCACAAATGGAACAGTATAAATATATCCAACAGTTCAAATACAGTAGGAAAACAACGGTAGCAGCAGTTTAAAAACAGCAATAGTTATTATACCCTTGAAAGACATTCAACACGTTGTGCCTGTTGCTGTCATTCCGAAAGCGCTACGTCTACAACTTACTGCTCAAACCTACGGACGACAAGAATCCCAGATACCTAACTCCCCGCACATTGTTTTTTTTATTAAAGGTATTTAAACTATGAACGGTTACCAACTTCTAAGAATGCTGATTTGAAAACATAATGAGGATTTTCTTCCATACTGCATTTATAACACTTGCCTACTGGTATAAAGCAGGTCTCCCTGGGAAATTACAGACTCCTGCTCTTTGTAGGAACACAAACGTAACTCACGAGACGTAATGCCTAATGCTAACTGCTACAATATACACACAGCTGGCCTCACCGCACACACTACGCTTTTTACAGTGTTTACCTTTGTTCAAAATTATGTCCCAAGTCACTTGTTCTCTGCTGAAGCACTAGCAGGCTCCTTCAATACAAAAGGCAAATCGCCTAAGGCTTTAATCTGCTGCCGGTGGAACGCACGGCAAGAGCTCCCTCAAATTCAGTGCAGTCAGGGTCCAGATCTGCACCTCTTCGTGGAAACCGAAGACAAAGCGGCAGCCAGAAACGCCTTCACGCCGTCTGAGACCGACCTACCCAGCGCTGTACAATGACACCAGTATATTCTAAGCGTAAATGCTTCCACTCGTTTTCCCCACCACATCAGTCAAATGTACAATCAAGAAAAAAAAAAAAGCTTTTTGGCATTAGATACATTTCACTCCATTGCAGAGCAATTTGGAAATCTCGTAAAAAAAAAAAAAAAAAAAGCTTTTTGGCATTAGATACATTTCACTCCATTGCAGAGCAATTTGGAAATCTCGTAAAATAAAAAATAAATAAATATCAGTGGCAAAGAATTTGTGCAACACAGACCTTCTGCAGTACATGTACATTCATATACAGCAAATACTTCTCCACGGTTATAGTGCAAAGCGTCTGTCAGCATGAGATACCCAACACCCACACAGACACAGAAACCTTGGCGCTTTTTAAAGCCACCCAGAGGCAACACATGCAAAACCACTGCGCAATCCTGTGGCATCAAGCGGTACGGGTAGAGTAAGATGGAGGGCAAATGGAGAGATTTAACAACAGTGGCAAAACAACAGCTTTAACTTCAGTGCATCTTAGGTTCTTCTCCTGTAACCTTCAATACAGCACTTAAGTGTTCAGCTTTATCCATTTATTTAATTACTGTAAAGTGATAGTGGGGAGATGTCCAGAACATCACTGACTTCATTCTGAAGGCTTATACTGGGTATTTAGTAGCCCACATTAACAAGTATTATGCTCAGTTAATGAGGACGCAGTTTTTCTTGAAGTGTTGTTCCAGTTAAAGTATCTTCCACAGCTTTTCAGTGCCAAAAACATGGCTTTTATTTTCTGAAAACCTGGATATCTACATGAGAATTTGTGTTATCTGTCTGTTTTTTGGAAAAAGTGATTAGCAATATCACTTTCTACTCAAACGAAGGTAGGAGACAGATAATGGGAACATGTTAAAAATTTGCCCTAAAAGAATGAATAATAGTATTTGCAAACCACTATTCTAACAGAAATTAGCTTACAAGACATGACAGAAAGAAATAAATCATGATTTCGTAACTAAAAAAATAATCACTGCTGTCAATGTCTCACCTCCACTTTCTTCCTTTGTGTGTTGTTTTTTGGTTTTTTTTTTGTAACTACCCAGGATGAATTCAAGCCCTCAAAAGAAGTCACTAACTGGAATTTTCATTCAAAGTTACTGAATTTCTGAAACCTCTACTAACAAAAAATAAAGCTGAAGACCCTTCAGAGATGTGGGACAAAAACAGGCGACAAAGCCAGTGGTGGTTAGAACGGGCAATTTAACCAAGGAATGCACAAGTTTCTACTCCTTCGGAGGCCTTGGAAAGGCCATGAAATTCAAAACCCAGCCTGCAAGTGGAACTGCATGTGTTGCCACTCCTGTTTCACTGTCAGGTAAATATTTTAAGATACACACAGGAAAGATACAACGCACCAAGAGCACCTTTAACAACTGAAGGATACTTAAGTAGCTGAAAAATGGCGTATCGAACAAGTTGCCTAAACGAGAACTGCTAAGCACTGAACTCTACTTCAACATTTTTGGAAATTAAGACCTGTAACGACGACAGCCACATTCACGCACCACGGCGAGGAAGAAGCAGGCTTTTTTTGTCAGTTTGGAGTGATCACTTCCTTCAAATACTACGACCACCCGATTTTAAAACCTTTTTGGTACCTGAAACTAGTTGAAGACAAGATCTAGCAGCTAAGACAAGCTGTCTTAAACCCGCTAGGGAAGTTCATTTGCATTGGTGCGGGTTAATTAGTCTCTTGGTCAAAAGGACAGACAATTGTAATACTAAATTCCGTCCTTTTCTCTCACTTCCTCTCCTCATCCCAGTTTTCCAGCCCAGACTTTGGTGAAAAGCCTGACAAAAGAACGCTGCTTCTTTACAGAACAAAAGTGTGGCCGTTTCACACACACACACGCAGGCACACGCATTAAACTGAGCGCTGTTCTTGGTTCCTCTGTTTCACGTGACGCGGTGCAGGCGGCCACTTCTTTGAACGCCGGTTAGGGGAGATCTAAGCAGAGCGCCAGATCAGTCCGTTCTTATCAGGTTCAAGAAAATTCTCAATCAAAGCCCCAATAAGCTTCTGAAGTTCTTCTTCCAGCACGCTTCTGTCACTAGAAAGAGAACAATGCCATGTCAGGGGTTTGATAAACACCGAGAATCTACTTAAAAGAAGAATAAAATGCAAGATCCGATGCTGGTGGACCAGCTCTGTTCTGTTTCCTAGCAGCACCAACGTGTAGAGACTCCAAGCCGCTTGCTTTAACAAGCTGCTTTTTGGTAGGGACTATTGCAATATTAATTTAAATTAATTTCATTACACTAAAGAAAAAAATAACTGCCACTAGAGGGCTCTAGGCTAGCAGAGGGGACACAGGAACTAATTACTGTAAAAGCAATGCAAGACTGCTCAGACACTGACTGTAAATGCATTAAAAAGTAAGAACGAGCTACCAATACAAGAGGTAGTTACCCTATATTCTTCTCTACGCAGCATCTGGATGCCCATCTAGGGTATCTGACTGTATTTAGGGGGACTGAGTAACCAGGCAAAGTGTCACGGCTCACAAGACAACAGTATTAATATACTGATCCTTTCCCTGTTTAAATGCCCAGCCATTCATTTAGGCAAAAAGATAACATCCTCATGCACAGACACTACTGCATTGCAACACTCCTTTAAAAATGCATAATCTCTCTCCTACCCCAGCAGTCTCACTGGAGGGAGAGGAACTCAGTCTGGTTTTAATGGAGAACAGGGAAAACAGGCTTATGTACGTTTGCTTCGTTCATTTGTGGAACTGGTAATATATCATTGCCATCCAGGTCACCACTTCCCTTTCAAGAAAACACCCAAAAATGCTGCAATAGAACTGACTTTCCTGATGTTCGGCTTTTAAGAATAATCAATAAACAGCAACTCTGAGAAATATTTGCAAAGCTACTACAGAGAGCAATGCCTTTTGAGGTTCCTACAGACCACTGTATGTCTTGAACCAGGGAAGCTTGAAAGCTTTTCAGTTTCACGTTCCAGACAATAATTGCCATTAACCAGAGGTACTACTAAAATCAAAGGTCGATGGATTTTTCCGACTTACCAGAATGAACAGCAGCAGAAGCCCAAATGATGCATCAAAGCATCCTCAGGTAATTTGTTTCTCTCCCCACTATTCTCACTCATGTTAAGATAAGGTTAAGGGCGATATTTCTAGCATTTATTTCTTCCTCGGTGCAGCTGTTTGCCTCAACTATATCTTACCTCTTCTTCAGAAGAAGAGTGTGGCCAGCAGGACGAGGGAGGTTCTCCTGCCCCTCTACTCTGCCCTAGTGAGGCCTCATCTAGAGTACTGTGTCCAGTTCTGGGCTCCCCAGCTCAAGAAAGATGAAGAACTACTGGAGAGAGTCCAGCGGAGGGCTACGAGGATGATGAGGGGACTGGGGCATCTCCCCTACGAGGAGAGGCTGAGGGAGCTGGGCTTGTTCAGCCTGGAGAAGAGAAGGCTGCGAGGGGACCTTACAAATGCTTACAAATATCTAAAGGGTGGGTGTCAGGAGGATGGGGCCAAGCTCTTTTCAGTGGTGCCCAGTGACAGGACAAGGGGCAATGGGCACAAACTGAGGCACAGGAAGTTCCGTCTGAACATGAGGAAGAACTTCTTCCCTCTGAGGGTGACGGAGCCCTAGAACAGGCTGCCCATGATTCAGCATTTACACCAAATGGTTCCTTGCCCACCCTCGGGGTTTATGGAGACACGTTCTAAACGAAGCAAGAATTTCCATACCCACCTAACGAAGAAATGCATTCATATGCCGGACACCCAGAAAGCCCTCTGACCAAACACACACAAGCTCCAGGCAAGCGCTGCCACTCAGAAAACTGGGATGTAGGCCTCCTACCACTTCTGTGACCTGCTGTTATCCCACGGTCAGTTCAGAATGCTTTAAAAACACGATTCTGCAGATGGGCTGTACCTGTGTTAATAACACTTCATGTTGCAATAAGCCATGTTTTGAAGAATACTTCAGCAGCCTGTGGAGAGCTGTCTAGGCATGGATCTGTGTATCCCCTCACACGCACATTTTACAAGCAAAGGCAATCTACCACTCGCTATCCACTGACTGCCTAAATCTGACATTCAGTGATAAAAGTGTGCTCACCCTGAATTCCTGCCAGTAAGTAGAAGTAAATACCAAAAATCTGAGGCCTTTTTATGCCATTTTCAATTCCCTGCTCCACAGGAATGTAGGGATACAAGTCTAAAAGGAGGGGTATTACCACAACTGAGGTTAGGAATCCTGTTCAGGAGCCTGATTCTCTCCATTAGCTACATCGAGAACCTAGGCTCCTCATTCACACTCCTGACTTCAATGCTGTAAACATAGCCTGTATTTTTTTTTTCCTCTTAAATTGGAAGAAGCTGAATCCAGGTGGCTGTCAAAAGGAGAGAGATCTCTAATTGCTACCCATTAGCCCAGAGCAACACAGCAGATTCCCAAACACAACAGGAATCCACCCAGGTTTAAGCATACTTGCAGGGGCAGCACACCTTTGTTACTTTTCAAGTGAAGGAGGAATTGGGTTAATAAAAGAAGTCTTCTACTGCAGCAGATGCTTAAAATCCAATTCTTTGTTTTCTCCTCC